TAAACATCATACAAGGTGTGTTGTTTTTTATTTGAAAAACCCAATTGAAAAACAACAACAAAAATAGCCAGGCCCCACTTAATTTGGTAGCTCACTTTTATGACCTAAATACTGCCTAACTCCACTAAACTGCTCCCCCTAGCCCTGGGCAACATTCCAATGAGATAAGCGAATCTCTTTCTCCTGGAAGAGAAATTATACATTTTGTTAACCTTCAATTGCCATCACTAATCTAAAGATGGTAAGTACACACAAAACATGATACAGATATCCCCAGTCCTAATTCATCAATAATCGTTTGTATCAATCTAATTTCTCATAACTAATCCATAAAACCACTCAAAATTCCTCGAGTATACAATGATTATGTTTATTTGATTACCCTTCAGATCATATCCTCTTTAAATCTCACAATGATTATTGAACCCCTAAATCTGCTCCATGTGATCTCATCTCAAATGATCCATTATCAATTATTTGATCAACAATCTGTCTCCCCTTCTATTGTTCCTGTCACCCCTGTAAATGTCATATTTCATTCAATAGCCAATACAATCACATACTCTGTGTAAGTAAGACATTGTATTTTATCCCAGGCATGCCCTTAACATAATGCTATAGGAGACTTCCATCAATCCTGGAAGACACTACATAATACCACGTTTCATTAAGTTCACTACACCTTCTAATATAAACCTATATCCCCTTTCTATTAATTTAATCATCGCAACCTGTTGCATTTATGTTTTTTAAATATAAACCTATTGTTTAATAAATCCACTGTTTGCATTGAACACATCTCTCAGTCTCTCTAGGTATTGACTAATAGTCTCACTGTCTCCCTGCTTACACTCGTGGACTTTGGAGAAGTCGGCATGTCTGTGACAATATTCTCTCAGATTATCATAGAGTTGTGCCAATTTATCTCCATAAGCCCCTCCTTCTGCCCACTCTAGAACCAGCGCATTCCCGTCTCTGGAAACCCAGTTTCCTCTCACTGCCGCCCAGTCCTTTAACACTATCTGTCTGACTGCCCTCTCTAGTTCCCCTGTATTCAGCTTAAAGCTGGCGGTCAGCCCTTCCATATCTCTTCTGAACTGGTGTACCCCCGTCTTAGGGTGGGGTTTCCCTTCCACTGCTCTCACTATATCTCTCTGCTTCGTTAACTAAATCCTGGCATTAGTAAATTCTATCCACACACCACCAAAAACGAATAACATTTTTGCATACACATAACTAGAAAACATGAATTTAATGCCATTCTTGCTTAAACAATGCAATTCAACATTTCTCATCACCCAATTTCTATTACTTTTTTCACACAGGAAACCCTGTACAATCTCTATCCTCTATTGCTGACTTTCCATCTAACATTACTTTTCAACATTTCTCAAATCTAATTACCTCTGTTATCAACTAAAATTATAGCCACCTCTTATGAAACCCCAATCTGTCATTGTTTAGAATACAGCAGATATAGGTAACTGTAGTAGTAGGCTACAAATAACACCAAACACCAAACACATGCCGTAGTTGACCAGCATATATTACATTTATCTCCATAGTATTAATATCCAATGTAGTGATTGACGTTCCTTAATGGAAACCCTAAATTGGTTTTGTACAATATTATAATAATTATGTCTCACCCATGATGCATGTCTACGTTTGGGTAAGCAAGTTAATATATAATTATTATTCCAATTATTATTTTATGAAGTCTCTAGCCTCTCATTCAACACAAATCCCCATCATCAAATATACTCCCAGCAGAACTGGGAATAACAGACTGTGATTTCCAGGGCACTGCCCCTTTGTTTCTGGCCTCACTATCTCCCCGAGAGTTGGCACTCCCTTAAGGTCTCTCTTATTCCTCTTTTTTTCTCCCAATCTGCTCTTGGTAAACTGCATACTTTTTTAACCTCAATCAGTGTTGCTGTGCCGTTCTCCACCCTATCAAAGTATTTTTAATGGTCCTGCTTATCTCTGGTCTCATTCCACTGAGGAACACTATATTTTTAATTGCTGATGGTAGGGTGTATCATTCCCCTGTCTCTGGTCTGGCTCGGGTATGCCACTGTTTGCGTTAAACACATCTTTAACCCTCTCTAAGTACTGGCTGACAGTCTCACTATCCTCTTGTTTACACTCATGTACTTTAAAGAAGTCTGCATGACGATGGTAATGTTCTCTGAGGCTATTACACAATTCAGTTATTTTCCCAACATACTCTCCGTGATCGGCCCATGGCAAAATTGCCCTCTGGGCATCCCCTGAAACCCACTGTCCTCTAATGGCAGCCCAAACCTTACTATTCCTGTTTTGGGGTACGTCATTCCTTCTACCGCTCTGGCCACGTCCTCTGTGTTCATGACCTGTCTGCTAAATTGCATATTATTATTATTATTACTGTATACATCTAAGGTTGCTGGGGCCCCTTCATTCCCTGCCAATAGATTAGGTAAGGCTATCAGTGGGTACTGGCCCCCTCCTACTCTCTCATCTCCTGACTCATACTGACTCCCTCCTGAGCTTAGCTCTGAATCCTCCTTTTCCTCTCTTTTCTGTTTCTTTAGATCATTACCACAATTTACATGCATTTGTTTAATCATGGACTCTAGTTTAATTACTCTCTTTTCTGTTTAATTTAGATCAGTACCACAATTTACATGCATTTGTTTAATCATGGATTCCAGTTTAATTACATAAAGTCGCCCAGTAACGCCTTTTTTTTCCCAATTAGGTCCATAATACACATTTCGTTTGTCTCCAATTTCCATGTATTTCTCGTCCCCAGTAAATTCTGGGACCTCTTGTGAGGATTTGCCTCCCATGGTTGGTACTGTTAAAAATCCCTTAGCCACCTCTTCTATATAACAAGTTATTCAAAACAGTTTCACACCACACCTGGAATCACCCCTTCCTGTATAGGTACAACAGGTTGACTAGTCCCCCAGAATTATCTCCTACTCTACGGAGGAATTTATCCCCACAATGTAATCTTGATAATTCCTGACAGTCCCATACAACAGGAATGGGTTCTCCCTCCTCTCTATACAACCACATGGAATTATTCATAGATGTCACTTTTGAGCAAATATTAGGTCTCATACGTATACAACCTTACATGATTATTGGTTAACACCATCGGTAACCCAGAGTTTGTAAGGCTCCAGTTTCATGAAACGGATAGAGTTACAGCAAAATCTACAGTTGTTTGTGACTTTTGACTTTACTAATATTCTATTTCTCACACATGCTATTTTAATTCCTTCTGGTGTACTTTTTGTATTTGTTTAACCCAGATTATTTGTTGACTGTTCTATAATCTCTTACAGGTTACATCCCTTAGGTGTACTTTTAATAGTTCCTTCTTTTTCAACACCGGGTAGTTTCTTTTGGTAATTGGCCTATTACCATGAATCGTTACGGACCCACCAACCTTAAATTGGCTACAACCTTAAATCGGCTACCGGCTACAATCTTAAATTGGCTACCTTAAAATGGCTACGCATTGATCAATTTGCTACTTTAAATTATGACGTTACCCTCAGTCAATATTTTAGCAAGTTCTCAAATCAATTTCACCAAGTAATGAATAAAGAATACTGACTTTATCCTTGCAGCCGAGATTCAATGTAGGTTTGGATTCCGTCACCGTCTCTGTCATTAATCAGGTGTCTTCTGGCCTGTCTTAACCCTTAATGTCAAAGGGCAGGACTTTCTATTTACGAATGTATCATTCGCCCGTCGATGGTTTTCAGAGTTACCTGGAATGACAGAGGCAGGTATTGGATTCCGGCTCAGAAGGACCAAGCTGTTACGTGAATTATAACAAACTATTTCAGTGTCTCTGTGCGTCTCCCAAAAGGTTGTAAGTCTTTTGGATTTAAGAAACGGACGGAGTCCCATTCTGCATAGTCAGAGATTTATTCATTGAGAATTCTGCCATCACAATTTCAGAGTCCATCTTTTATACTCACACGTCATACAAAAATCCCTCCTCTCTTTAGGCGGGCTGTAGTTTTCCACTTTAAAACTGCTCTCCTGACCATCAGTACACACACACACACACACACACACACACACACACACACACACACACACACATGCACTCTTCCAAGCCTAATAGTTTCTCTCCTCCCTAAATTCCTCAGTTATCTTGGTTTCTCAGTTGTCTGTTGACAGTTCTCCTTGTCCTTTGTTGTCTGGTCTAACTCTTACTCACATTGCTAAATAGTAGCTCAATGTCATAGTCTTTACTGGTCCTACGCTCACACATTCTAACACATTTCACACAGTTTCAGGGTGTAATAATTAGTCATAAAAAATGATTCTATCAATATAAGGAAATCAATCAATTGAAATAAATAAATTAGGCCCTAATCTATGGATTTCAATGACTAGGCAAGGGCGCACCAACTGGGGAGCCAGGCCCAGCTAATCAGAATGAGTTTTTACCCACAAAAGGGCTTCATTACAGAATGAAATACTTCTCAGTTTCATCAGCTGTCCAGGTGGCTGGTCTCAGACGATCCCGCAGGTGAATAAGCCAGATATGGAGGTCCTGGGCTGGCGTGGTTACACGTGATCTGCGGTTGTGAGGCTTGCCAAATTCTCTAAAATGACATTGGAGGTGGCTTATGGTAGAGAAATGAACATTACATTCTCTGGAAACAGCTATGGTGGACATTCCTGCAGTTAGCCTACCAATTCCATGTTCCCTCAAAACTTGAGATCTATGGCATTGTGTTGTGTGACAAAACTGCACATTTTAGAGTGGCCGTTTATTGTCCCCAGCACAAGGTGCACCTGTTTCATGATCATGCTGTTTAATGATCTTCTTGATATGCCAAACCTGTCAGGTGGATGGATTATCTTGGCAAAGGAGAAATGCTCACTAACAGGACTGTAAACAAATGTGGAAAATTTCTGGGATCAACACTTTACATGTTGCGTTTATATTTTTGTTCAGTATGAACAGTATCAAGCCTTTTGACTCACGCATTGTCATTGTAGGTCTCCTCACTGTAGATGCGGACATTTCCGGCTCCATTGGAGACAACACGGTTCTCTGTCCTGAGGTCAGGGACGGCCTTCTCTGATAGGACTACAGTAGTACTCTGCAACATAGTCCACCTGAAAGAACGTAATAACATTGGTAATTGTTTAAATATTTCATACATATTTGTTTTTGTGCTTGTGAGGGTGTATTGCCTCAAAATAAAATGCCATGTTGTTCAACACAAACGCTATGAAACAGAACGTCTCAGTAGACACTTAAATGCATCTTGACCAGAATGTCAAGAGCATTCTCATTAGGTCTTTTGTCTCAGGTCTAAGCCTGTGCACCACTTATACACCATAAGAGCAGTAGAGAGTAGAACTGCAGAGTAGGGTATGCCAGGGAACTTTTTAATATTTTTTATAGATGTTCAACAGTACACTGAACACACAACACAAGCCCTTTTCAATGAAAACACACACACAGACACGCCCACACAACTTCCCAAAACAGCCCAAGTCAAAGTGAGACATTCTGACTGAAAATGAACTCCAACATCCATCAAACTCAGGGGCCAAAAGTCTCTTCCTCCAGGTGTCTGGGATGATCAGTGTCTTGCCTGGCAGCCTTTCTTTCCTTCTATTCTTAGAAGGGAAGTCACAGTCACTCAGGTGGAAGGCGATGCACAGAAACCTGGATTGGAAATTCCCTGAACTGCTTTCTGCATGGATGGAAGGGTCGTGTGAGCGATGAAGGCAGAGTGTCTTTCTGCATCACCTCTGTAGCGCCTTACGGTCGGAGGCCGAGCAGTTGCAATACCGGAAGGTGATGCAACCATTCAGGATGCTCTCGATGGTGCAGCTGTATATTTTTTTGAGGATCTGAGGACCCATGCCAAATCTTTTCAGTCTCCTGAGGGGGAATAGGCTTTGTCGTGACCTCTTCATGACTGTCTTGGTGTGTTTGGACCATGATAGTTTGTTGGTCATGTGGACACCAAGGAACTTGAAGCTCTCAACCTGTTCCACTACAGCCCCGTCGATAAGAATGGGGGCGTGCTCAGTGCTCTTTTTTTTCCTGTAGTCCACAATCATCTCCTTTGTCTTGAAAACGTTGAGGGAGAGGTTGTTATCCTGGCACCCCACGGCCAGGTCTCTGACCTCCTCCCTATAGGCTGTGTCATCGTTGTTGGTGATCAGGCCTACCACTGTTGTGTCGTCGGCAAACTTAATGATGGTGTTGGAGTCGTGCCTGGCCATGCAGTCATGGGTGAACAGGGAGTACAGGAGGGGACTGAGCTTTGAGGGCACTATGGTGTTGAACGCTGAGCTGTAGTCAATGAATAGCATTCTCACGTAGGTGTTCCAGGAGGGAAAGGGCGGTGTGGAGTGCAATAGAGATTGCATCATCTGTGGATCTGTTGGGGCGGTATGCAAATTGGAGTGGGTCTAGGGTTTCTGGGATAATGGTGTTGATGTGAGCCATGACCAGCTTTTCAAAGCACTTCATGGCTACAGACTTGAGTGCTACCGGTCGGTAGTCATTTAGGCAGGTTATCTTACTGTTCTTAGGCACAGGGACTATGGTGGTCTGCTTGAAACATGTTGGTATTACAGACTCAGTCAGGGACATGTTGAAAATGTCAGTGAAGACACTTGCCAGTTGGTCAGCGCATGCTCGGAGTACACGTCCTGGTAATCCGTCTGGCCCTGCGGCCTTGTGAATGTTGACCTGCTTAAAAGTCTTACTTACATTGGCTACAGAGAGCGTGATCACGTAGTCATCCGGAACAGCTGATGCTCTCATGCATGCTTCAGTGTTGCTTGCCTCGAAGCGAGCATAGAAGAGATTCAGCTCGTCTAGTAGGCTTGTGTTACTGGCCATCTCACGGCTGTGCTTCCCTTTGTAGTCTGTAATAGTTTTCAAGCCCTGCCACATCCGACGAGCGTCAGAGCCGGTGTAGTACGATTCAATCATAGTCCTGTATTGACTCTTTGCCTGTTTGATGGTTCGTCGGAGGGTATAGAAGGATTTCTCATAAGCGTCCGGGTTAGAGTCCCACTCCTTGAAAGCGGCAGCTCTACCCTTTAGCTCAGTGCGGATGTTGCCTGTAATCCATGGTTTCTGGTTGGGGTATGTACATACGGTCACTGTGGGGACGACGGCATCGATGCACTTGATGAAGCCAGTGACTGATGTGGTGTACTCCTCAATGCTATCGGAAGAATCCCGGAACATATTCCAGTCTGTGCTAGCAAAACAGTCCTGGAGCTTAGCATCTGCATCATCTGACCACTTCCTTATTAACCGAGTCACTGGTGCTTCCTGCTTTAGCCTTTCAGGGCCAAGTCTAAGTCAAGTCTCAAGTCTTTTAGGGCCAAGTCTAAGTCTAAGTCAAGTCTCAAGTCCCTTTTGGCAATGGCTTTCTGCCTGCTGTGGTTAGGTCTATAAACCTTGTAAATTATTTGAAGAGACTCCCTTGTTCATTAGTCCACACTTGTATGAAAGAAAGCACATCATGCACTATTTAAATACAAATAAATGTAGACAGTTTACATTAATAAAAGTAACTGTACCGGATATGAAAAAAAAGCAAACATAACATTTTAAAGTGCATGGTATTTTGTGGCAGCCATTGTCTATATTTCACTTCATTCTGTCACACAAACAGAACATCTGTAGGGGAGGGAAGATAAATTACAAGTATCAATGTAAACTAAAATGAATGACAACTGTTCAATAACTGCACTACTAAAGTGTCCTATATATCAAACGTAATGACCTTTATCCCTAAAATATGCTTGAGCTTTGGAAAGTATTTTGCATGGATTCTCCAAAAATCCAAGCAATCAACTTCATTTTCATCAGAAGTTATTTGAATGTAGCAAATAATCTCTGCACTGACAGATGATTTTATCTTGCTGATCTTGCTGATCTTGTTGCGGTAGCCAGAGAACAGTCTGGAGGTTTTGGCAGGTGGTTGTTCTTCTTCTTCTCCACTACTGCTCTCCGTAACGGTGACTTTCCGTGCCTCAGCCAAAACAAGGTCTAAAAAAAAGTCCTACAATTATGTAAATAATCAAGAATATAACAGTATATATTATACATTATTATTTGAATGCAAGTAACATAGAAAACATTGCATGTTGCAATGCATTGTACCTACCAATCAGACTCTCCTTCAATTCAGCTTTATCTTCATGTGGTATGAGGACATCATGATCAAGCCAGAACAGGCAGAAAGATGGGTCCAGCAGTGTAGCCATTATGTATACATTGTCACCAAATGGAAGTTCTGTAGACTGTTCATCCGAGTGCTCCATTCTGACATTCACAAACACCCCCTGGAATCGGCGTTTGAGTGACTGCTGCAGTGCTTTTACTAGACTGACTAGGTGACGACTTGCTCAGTATACTTTGCAGATGATAGTTGAGTGACAGTACACAAGGAAGGGCAGCACTGAGAGTCACCACTTTCTCCCCCTGAGTAAGGTCAGTGGCCTGGACAAAAGGGTCCAAAATGTCCAATAGCTCCAATAGCTGGCTCCATTCCCTTGGTGATAAGCAGAGCTCCTTGCGTGCTTGGGCCTCAAGTAGAGTATTGAGGCTTTGTTGATTCAGATTGGTGACTGCTTTAACAAGGCAGAGGATGGAATTCCATCTGGTAGACACAGCAGCAGGGATACTACGATTGGCTCCGAACTCAGCTTCAAATGATTCTTTCAGACCACAGGTAGTATGTAGTAAGTTGCAAAGTTTAGTTATCTTAGCAATCAGACTGTTTGTGATTTTTGTTTCCTTTAGTCCATCTCTAATCACCATATGTAATGAATGGGCAAAGCATTGTAAGCGCTGTTTCCTGCAGTTGGTTTGGATAGCTTCAACATCAGCATTGTACTCTTCACAAAATTATTCCCATAGGCTGGTCTGTGCCTCGATACCACATCATCATCATCATCATCATGATCATTACTTGCTTTGGGGAAACAAACTTTGAACGCCTTTTTCATATTGCAGCTTTATCACATATGATATCATCTAATTTAGGTTTTACGCCAAAGTTATCACATATTACTTCAAATGTATCACTGATTCTTTCCCAAGTGTGTGACCCTGTGAATCTCTCATAGCTCAACAGAACTGACTCCAGTCTGGGAGTTTTTTCTCTTCCATGGCCATGTAATGGGCCGTTACTCCCATGAAGGCCCTCATGGTCCTGTCAGTCTATATATCTATAGTGTTAAGTCATGCAGGTGCCTGGTCAACGTGGGCCTACTTACTGGTCTATATTTGTCATCTACCACTGATATGAAATGCCTAACGTGAGGGTTGTCCACTAAGGACATAGACAGGTTGCAGGAAATGATCAGGTCTTGCAGTATAGCCTCTGTTATGGCATTCTGCCTGGGGTGGCCCTGGCTGTACACATGGACACCTGTGGTGGTAAAGAATGAGTCAATGCTGCTCTGTCCTTCTGTCCCTGCACTGGCCACATTTGCTTTGCAGAATTCAGTGAACCTGCAGATGAACAACATGATGGATAGTTGTTGTTTACTTGAGATGGAAGGACAAGGACACAAACAAATATATATGGTCTATGGGATTTTTCAGCAGAAATGTCCAAGAAGTTACATGCTTTGAACTCTTGTTTTATACTAAGTTACCTCCTAGGAAAAGGCTACAACAGAAAGTATATTACATTTCAGAGTGATATGCATATCGCCGAGATGTAACTTAATAATCTCTGCTAACAAGTAGGCCTAGCTATCTGACAACCCACCTCTTAACCTTTCAAGAAATATTAGACAGTAATACATTTCCTGTTAGCTAAAAGATGACACACAAGAAAGCTAGCTATATCAAGCTGGCATCTGCTAAACAGGCTATTATTAGTCTAACCACATTATAACGTTGTTAGCTAGCTAGCCTAACTGACCTTTCGCGGTGGTTGCGCCATCATCTTTAATGTTAATTCCACACGTTTAGCAAACAGCATTTCGTTTTTTGCCACTGGCATTATACTGCAGGTTCTTGTAACCAAATTGAATAACGAAAGCCTCACCACCTGATGACATTGTTGCTGATTACAATTGTTTAGCTGTAGTACTACAGTGACGTACAAATGACACAGACGTTCTTGAACGCTTTTCAGCCCTCTGTATTAAACTACTTTCTCTTTGTTACAATGCCAATTTTTTATCTGACAGAATGCACAACAAAAACTTATCCCAGTACTGACTTGCATTGTTCACAACTCTCTCATCTAGAGTCCAAGTCAAGTCTCAAGTCAATTGATCACGAGTCTAAGTCAAGTCGCAAGTCATTTTCTTTGCGACTTAAGTGCGACTCGAGTCCGAGTCTCAGGCTTGAGTTTCCATCTCTGTGAGATACTCTACCTCAGGTGAGCAAAAACCTCGAGACTTCCTTAGTATTAGATTTTATGCACCAGCTGTTGTTTACAAATATACACAGACCGCCACCCCTTGTCTTACCGGAGTCAGCCGTTCTATCCTGCCGATGTAGCGTATATCCTGCCATCTGTATGTTATCCATGTCGTCGTTCTGTCACGACTCGGTAAAACATAAGATATTACAGTTTTTAATGTCCCATTGGTAGGATAACCTTAATCTTAGGTCGTCCAATTTATTTTCAAATGATTGAACATTGGCTAATAGGATTGATGGACGAGGCAGTTTACTCGCTCGCCGTCGGATTCTTACTAGGCACCCCGACCTACGTCCACGATATCTCAGTCTCTTTCTCATGCGAATGACAGGGATTTGATCCTTGTCGGGTGCCTGTAGAATATCCTTCGCGTCCGATTCGTTGAAGAAAACATCTTCGTCCAATACGAGGTAAGTAATCACTGTCCTGATATCCAGAATCTCTTTTTGGTCATAAGAGACGGTGGCAGAAACATTATGTACAGAATAAATTACAAATAACGTGGACAAACACACATAATTGTACAATTGGTTAGAGGGCTGTAAAACGGCAGCCATCTTCTCCGGCACCATTGACTAAGGCCCTTCTCCCCCGATTGCTCAGTTTGGCCGGGTGGCCAGCTCTTGGAAGAGTCTTGGTGATTCCAAACTTCTCCCATTTAAGAATGATGGAGGCCACTGTGTTCTTGGGGACCTTCAATGCTGCAGAAATGTTTTGGTACCCTTCCCAAGATCTGTGCCTCGATACAATCCTGTCTCAGAGCTCTACAGACAATTCCTTCGACCTCATGGCTTGGTTGTTGCTCTGACATGCACTGTCAACTGTGGGACCTTATATAGACAGGTGGGTGCCTTTCCAAATCATGTCCAATCAATTTAATTTACCACAGGTGGACTCCAATCAAGTTGTAGAAACATCTCAAGGATGATAGGTAGTGGGTTCGATCCCCGGGACCACCCATACACAAAAAAAAAAAATTGTATGCACACATGACTGTAAGTCGCTTTGGATAAAAGCGTCTGCTAAATGGCATATTATTATTATTATTATTATTATTATTATTATTATTATTATGATCAATGGAAACAGGATGCACCTGAACTCAATTTCGAGTCTCATAGCAAAGGGTCTGAATACTTATGTAAATAAGGTATTTCTGTTTTTTATTTGTAATACATTTGCAAAAATGTCTAAAAACCTGTTTCCCCTTTGTCATTATGTGTAGATTGTGTAGATTGATGATGAAAAAAAGAATGTAATACATTTTAGAATAAGTCTGTAATGTCACAAAATGTGGAAAAAGTCAAGGGGTCTGAATACGTTCCGAATGCACTGTAGGTTCACAATAATTACAAGTAGCCCTCAAGATACACTTTATTGTAACTAGCTAAATCCTGTGTACCTAGTAATTACATTGTACTTAGGCAGATATTACATGTACTCTGTGTTGTACTAGTGTGTTCATCCTTCCACTTGGATGGTACTTCCGGAAACCTTCAAATGAGCATGGGTAATGTACTATATATAAGTACACAGTAATTACAAGTAATTACCTCTCAAGATACACTTAATTTTAACTAGCTAAATAGTCATTACATAGTAATTACTATAGTAATAGTAATTCAATTTTCTTAGATAAATATTACATTTAATATGATATTACATATTACAGTACGCTGTGTGTAATGTCAAACGGTGTGTGTTTATTGTCCCACTTGGATGGCAAGGAGGTTCAGGTTGTCAAAATGGGTAACATACACATTAATTATGAGTTAATTTGGTAATTATAATCTGGGACGACACCCATATGAGGTTGACCTATATCTGATCTGTTTCTGTAAACTCAACTAATTAAGCCAGATGGTACACTTTTTGGAGGCAAGTGCTAGCAACAACATTGAGTGGAGATTTTATAGAGTGCATTCACTGGCGGTAATTAGAGTCTATTGAGACTCCAACCTTTGTAATCTCGGACACCCAGCACATCTGTCCACGAGAGATGACAACCTTGTGACAGTTGTTACTGAATCGAATGCAGCTGAGAAGAAAAAAAAACACTAAATTGGTGGAAACTTGCACATTTGTAACAAGCATGGTAACAAGATTCGCTACTTGGTAACTTTGAGTTATTACAATTAACTTCAATATTTATAAGGACCCCTTAAAATGAAGTGTTACCCAGGTCACTTATGAAACCAGCTCCTCACAAGGAGCTATTGCTACCATATCCACAACTATGAGGTTATAGTATCTCTGTGAATTGTTAGCCATTAGAAATAGAATGTCTGAATGAGGGAATAGTTAATTTTTTTCATTGCTCTGTTTTCAGCTTTCTGTTTGGGATCATGTTTTACAAACTGTAAATGGCTCTTTCAATTTAATGCACAACAAATATTTCCATATGGTCAATGTGTGCCAAATAACTGTTCAAACAACTCAGTGCCAGGATTGGCCGAAACCATTTAGTGACTACACAGCCATGAAATGACTAATGGACTTTATGAATGATACATCTCACGTCACAATAGGACTCCAGGACCTTATATGGGTCCTAAAAATGCCTGTTATCCGCTGGCTGGTTAATGATCAATCCGAGTGAAACCAGGTGTGCCATAGACAAACACCCGAGAGACAGTGAAAAGAGGTAATGTGACTCTCCATAAACTACAGCCACTCAATGATCACAACACAAGGCTATGTTTATTCTTCCAACCACTATCTTGAGAGCTGATATCACCTTTAAGTTATCCCCCAATGGTGACCATCCACCTTTGCTATCTATTTAGCTGTCCAGGTGATAGGTTGGGACCTAAAAGGAATGAAGGCCAGGCACCACAGGCTAAAATGACATTTTTGCATGTACTTATACATTTTGTGATTTTGGGGTATTTTGGTCCAGTAAAAGTAAAAATACAAATGTCAAAAAGTTGATGAAAATGTATATTTTGTTAGTTTATCATACTACCGTCATCAAAATGTAATAAATTGAATTGGTTCAATTGGTTCCAATTGTTTTTCCACCATTCGTTCTTATCATAGGGTATTTTAGAAACGCTTAAAATAAGGGCTGTGTTTCGTGTAGGCTTTCCCTGGCGTGATGTTTTGATAACTGTGTAAATCTCTCTAGGACAAGGGGACTTTTATCAATATATTCACCTGTATTTACCCCCCAAAAATGGGTAAGGGTACCAACGCTAATTAGCTGCTAATGTGGCTATCATAAAGAACTACAAATGCCATGATCTGGACGAGACTTCCGAACTGAGGCAAAGGTAAAAATCTCTGGATTAAATATCTAATGTTAGCTCAATTTAGTAATACATAAATTGTCTGCATTTCTTTAAATAGACAATTCTGTGAACTGTCTTGTCAAGTTTGAAATGGACACAATACCTTTTAGCAAAGGTGTCAGCTAGAGATGACGTGCAGGAGTTTGCAGGGATTTGTGGTCTTACATGATGTCTACTTTGATGCTAATTTGCATTTTTGAATCTGAGAGTAAATAGAGTCGAATATATCGATAAAAGTCACCATGTCCAAGAGAGATTTAGATGGTTAAAAATGAGACGCCACGGTAAGCCTACATTTCCCTGTTTGGCCGCTAGTTTTTATGGGTATTATGACACCTCTACTGTGGGGCTCAATAAAGCCCTTTTGTGGGGAAAAACGTATTATGATTGACTGGGCCTGGCTCCCCAGTGGGTGGGCTTATGCCCCTGCCCAGTCATGTGAAATATATAGGTTAGGGCCTAATTTATTTATTTCAATTGACTGATTATATGAACTGTAACTCAGTAAAATCATTGAAATTGTTGAATGTTGCATTTATATTTTTGCTCAGTAAAGTTATACCAACCAACCACATTAAGGATTTCCTTGGCCAACGTGTAGGAAGAGACTATTGCAGGGAATTTCAGGCCCTATTTACCACAATAAATTGAATTCTCCACTTACCCAGTCCTGCACATCATGTTCCTCTGGTGGCCTGAGCAGTGACCGGTCCCAGATCATGTTGGGTTTGACGTGGCGCATTATCTTACTGTGGGTTTTGTAGGCATAATATGCAGCTACACACAGTGCCTCCACTACAAAGAACCCAAGCACCAATGTCACAGCCTGAAACAAAGGATAGATTAGATGTGTTCTTATCACTACAGATTATTCATTTATTTAGGTGATGAAAGAGTATCTATAAAGAAATTCAATATAATAATTAGCCACACTGATTTACATTTATTAACTTTATAAAACACAAAAAGGGGTCAACAGTATTTGTATAGCATGTAATAGTAAACTATGAAGGTTTACAAAGTAAAGATGTACTGTATATTGAAGTAAAGCTTTGACTAGGGTTGTGACGGAGTCACACATTTGTTCCTCTCCTCCGTTCCTGACCGTCACAGAGTGTGCCCTGTTTTTGTAAGCCATTGGTTGAAGGTATTTTATGATACTTGTTTCCTATAAAACCTTGCTGAAACAAGGAGCAACAACGTTTTATTAAGTTACCACGGAAACGGACTCAACCAGCCGTCTTCAATCAGCTGCATGTTCCACAACACAAACTTCTAAAACTGGCTAGTTTTGTCTCCTCTCATCTCTCCTTATATCGAATGTTAGATGTGAACCAGACTTACTTTTACTTTACTGCTTTTAGGTAAAGTTTGTTGACTTGAAAATGAAGTTCATAAAAAACATATATATATATATCCCACTGGGCACAGAAGTCAGTTCAACATCTAGTTTTGATTTACATTTGGTTGAGTTTTCAACTAACGTGAATTCAACGTGAAATCAACAAAAAATGTAATCATGTCATTGGATTTATGTTCAAAGTTGGGTAAAAAAACGTTTTAATGCCCTTACGTTGATGACTTTTTGTAAATCCAATCAGTTTTCTACATTGATTCAATGTAATCACATAGATTTTTGGGGTTGAAATGACGTGGAAACAATGTTGATTCAATCAGTTTTTGCCCAGTGGGATATTTTAATGTCTTCATCCATAATCGTCGGTTGCACAATTATACAATTACCGTGTCAGCCCTAGCTTAGACCCACCTCTTCAGGGTCCATGTAGCAGTAGTGTTGGAGATACTGGTTGTACATGGGGAAAACCCCGGGGAACCCCGCTCCCACACTCCCACTCAGACCGGGGCTTCCCTTCATGTTCTGGCACATCATCAGCATAGGGTTATAGAGCATGCTTTGAGAGCTCTGTGACATGGGGTTGACCCCGATCCCAAATACAATGTCAATGATGCCCTGCAGCATTGCCAGGACCACATCACAGATTAACATGGTCAGGTAAAACCTCCTACTGCATATGGCAAGCGACCGAGAGAAACTCCCCACATGGAACCCCAGAGAAACCAGGAAGTTAATGGCCTCAATGGATATCATGGCTGACTTAGACGAGTAGCGGGTCATGTAGGAGCTGGAATAGCTGTAGCTGTTTCCGTAGAATCCACCAGAGCCACTGCCAGCCCCTATAAAGCCCATTCCTATTCCTGCTCTGTGCATGTCCCAGACCAACATGGAGGCTACACAGGCAAAAATTAGGAAACGCATGATGACTGTGGCTCCCTCCATGGTTTTGACAAGCCCAGGAGCAGAGAACCATTTGTAAAAGTGCTGGGGCATCTCCTCCATATAGAAGTTGCTATTTGGGGAGTGCATGCTCCTGTGGGTGTAGAATCGATTGGAGGTAGTAGTATAGGGAGGGCTACAGATGGGTGGGCTGTCATAATGCCGCGGCTCATTCATGATTCAGAGAAAAGTGAGGCTTGCAAAACAAGAGAAATACACCATATCATGCCATCCTAATATACTATCATTATAAATCACATCTTATCACAAATTATATAAATCATATCATAATATAAAATGACATCACTTACTATTACAACCAATTGGAATGACACATAGGCTAGATCTGGAATGTCTCTCTTCTCTCCATTTGTTTGCCCAACCTATAATATTCTCTTTAGGTTTGTTGCCAACAATGCTCCCTCTCCCTCAGTGAACCACAGAACTTATCAGTCCACTGCAACTCAACTCAGTGGACCTCAATAATTCAGACAGACATCAGAAGGCAGCTGCAGCAGGTGCAGTCATGCATGCACAGCGAATTGGCCAGTGTTGAATTTTCAGTGTAACATTTCTAGTGTTGATTCAGGAGTTAAATTCACTCTGTAAGAGTGAAATTAAAACTCAGTGGTGTAAAAGAACCCCCAGTGTTGGTGTTACACTGTGGAGAGTAAAACATTCCCATCAAAACCACGCCCATCATTATCATATTTTCCAGCATGCCCTACTGCAGGTATCTTTTTTAGGATTGTTTTTAATATCTGTTTTTGCATGTACATTGATTGATTGATTGATTAATCTTATGCTACACAAAGATAAATAACATACATTTTTCTCAACTATTCCAATCAGTTAGTTAGATTTATTGCTCCCATTACTGAAATGGTTATTCCAGTTGAAATGGTTTAGGTAGTCTCCTTTATCAACTTTCCTAACCCTGACAGTCACTCTGAATGCAGGTTGCGGGTGAATAAAAATCCCAATTGTTGGTCATCGCTGGCTGAATTCCAATAGGAATTTCACATCACTTTGCATATCGGCATAATGTGACTTGCAGGCCTGATGTGGCCTGTAAACCAGGAGTTCCCTAACACCACCCAAAAATGATTTACTGTAACACTACAGGTGCTAATTTCTTACACTCAGAAAGTGTAACAGCTTCAGCACTAAGCAAAGTGAGTCCAATTTATCTAAATCAAGTGTTATGTTTTACACTGTAGGTGTTGCGTATTACGCTACAGTAGAGCTATGCAAACACCACAATCAAGTTAATCTGAACACTTTAAGAGTTGAATGGGGAACACTGCAACAGAGATCAACTCTTTAACAGTTTCAAAAGTGTTATTTTAACACCAGTTCAGTGGGACTCATATGTTCACAGAAACTAGTGTACATTTAACACTTTCCGAGTTACATGTACACCATTGATTTTGCTGTGTGGTGTTTTCCACAAGGTGCTCCACTGTGTTCTCTACCTCTCAGCTGCTTACTTGTCGTCCAGGTGTCATGTGTCCTGTCCACAGACCATGTGATGAGTATACAGGTGAAGCTATGACATAAGCAATGTAATGAATGATGATAGTGTCTGTGCCCTTACGGTTACCCCTGTCACCACTCTAACCTGAATGACTATGTATAGTCCTACACTTGCGCACACACACATACATACACACGCATGCGTGTACACACACACAAGCACACACAAACAAACACAGCTGTGTTCTCTCTCTGACAGGCAGGATACAGTAAATAATTCAAGAGTGGAACTGGGCAGACTCATGAAAGGCTGACACACATCAAAGCAAGCAAGTTCAGGCTTCAGTCACCCAAAATACACGTTACTGCTATATTCGATGGCCACTGTCCATATCCTGTGTTAAATTATTACTATTAGTGAAAACTAATTATAATTGTTTTGCATAAAATACAAAAAATAGGTCTACAGACCACATTAAAAACACAATAATAATTTGCCCAACTAACAAACTGCAGGCCTATAAAGAAAAGTAACAAGAGGCCTATAAAGAAAAGTAACAAGAGGAAGCTTTTAAATGGTTATATCCTGTAAATGGTTAAATCCTGTAAATGGTTAAAGGCACCCTCCAGAGGAAGTTGCCGCCTCTATTTTGAGGTAATTCCTGCCCTAGAGCGGAAATAATCGTTTAGGTTCCACCTCCGAAGAATGGTGTATGCTCCTAATACATATTCTCGAATTGGGTGTAGGAATGTCGTGGTGATTTTCACGGGGAGTGGAGAAAAAAACCCAAATAGGGCACTGCCAGCTGTCAGTGTAGCTAGCTAGCATGCAAACCTTATCTAGCTAGCTAGCATGCTAACCTTACCTAGCTACTTAGCTAGCTATCTTGCTAACCTTGTTATCTGTTGTTGCTGTTTTTTTTAACTACACCATATTCAAAAGATTAGCCAACTGGCTAGGCTATGGCTGGTTGTGGAGATGGATTTGTCATAAGCATTTAGGAAAAACTTCACCACAGATGGATGGGGGAAACCAGTAATTTGACTTCGCCATCTATTGTAATCTTCAATGTTGAACGATTTGGGATAGAGAGGCGTTTTTCTACATTGTATGGACACGGTACAGCAAAGCCAAGCCAGACCATGCTCATGGTTTTCACAGGGGAAGTGAAATTATATGCTACAATGACTTTGCACACATACTGTAAATAGATACATAAATAAATGGATAAATGAATGCACACATAAATAGATATATAATTATTTAAATAATTAATTCCACTTTCTTTCATTTTATTCATTTATATTATTTCTTCATTTATTTATTTATGTATTTCTTCCTCCATATGAAAATGAGGGGGTGTCAAGCAAATGCATGTTTTTTTTTAAAACTATTTTCTACATTGTACAATAATTGTGAAGCCATCAAAACTATGAAATAACATATATGGAATCATGTAGTAACCAAAAAAGTGTTAAACAAATCAAAATATATTTTATATTTGAGATTCTTCAAATATCCAACTTTGCCTTGATGACAGCTTTGCACACTTGGCATTCTCTCAACCAGCTTCACCTGGCATGCTTTTCCAACAGTCTTGAAGAAGTTCCCACATATGCTGAGCACTAGTTGGCTGCTTTTCCTTCATTTACATTTTAGTCATTTAGCAGACGCTCTTATCCAGAGCGACTTACAGTTAGTGAGTGCATACATTTTCATACTGGCCACCCGTGGGAAACGAACCCACAACCCTGGCATTGCAAGCACCATGCTCTACCAACTGAGCTACAGGGGACTTACTCTTCACTCTGCGGTCCGACTCATCCCAAACCATGTCAATTGGGTTGAGGTCGGGGGATTGTGGAGGCCAGGTCATCTGATGCAGCACTCCATCACTATCCTTCTTGGGAAAATAGCCCTTACACAGCCTGGAGGTGTGTTGGGTCATTGTCCTATTGAAAAACAAATGATAGTCCCACTAAGCCCAAACCAGATGGGATGGCGTATCGCTGAAGAATGCTGTGGTAACCAGCAAAGCACCCCCACACCATAACACCTCCTCCTCCATGCCTTACGGTGGGAAATACACATGCAGAGATCATCTGTTCACCCACAACGCGTCTCACAAAGACACGGTGGTTGGAACCAAAAATCTCAAATTTAGACTCTAGACCAAAGGACACATTTCCACCGGTCCATTGCTCGTGTTTCTTGGCCCAAGCAAGTCTAATTCAAACGCATTAAGAAGGAAAGAAATTCCACAAATTAACTTTTAAGAAGGCACACCTGTTAACTGAAATGCATTCCAGGGGACTACCTCATGAAGCTGGTTGAGAGAGTGTGCAAAGCTGTCATCAAGGCAAAGGGTGGCTATTTGAAGAATTTCAAATATAAAATATATTTTGATTTGTTTAACACTTTTTTGGTTACTACATGATTCCATATGTGTTATTTCATAGTTTTGATGTCTTCACTATTATTCTACAATGTAGAAAATAGTAAAAATAAAGAAAAAGCCTTGAATGAGTAGGTGTTCTAAAACTTTTGACCGGTAGTGTAGATATGTATCAATATGATATGTCACCTTTTTTTGGTGTGGAAATTGCAGATCAAATCAATAATATGCTGCTGTGCCGCATGCGCACCATAAAAACACACAAAAAGAACAAATGGAACATTGTCCTTGCTTGACTTGTGAGCAGTTTTGGAACACTGAGCCATTGACTGTCTGGCTGCACCAGGTGGCTGTGTTTGCTTTTGACAATAAGGCACCAGACTACAGCCATATAGTTTTGAACCTAGAAGACCAAGAGACGGGAGTAGGCAAGGAGTCGACTGGGATTGGCCAGAAAATCATGGTAAGCTAACATTACTGAGTGAGTATCAAGGTAGCTAGCTTGGCTACAACTGATAAAGTTTTACAGCCAGACTCAGTTTTACACTTAGCTAGCTAGATAATGAACTAAACTGAAATTTTCATAAACCATTATTATCTAGCTAGCTACTGTAGCTAAATATCTGTCAGATGTGAAGGAAGCAGGACCGTGGCATGTGTCAGAAGCAATGCATGTTGGCTAGCTCATGTTAGCTAGATCACTTATTAAGCAATAGAGTGAATCCTTAATTTATAGGGTTGTCATTTACCTAGGTAGCTACCTAGGATAATTCTCGACATCATCCATCTTTGAAGCAGTTTGCTTGCAACATTAGGTCTCAACAATCACATGCGTCTAAGCTGGCAGCTAGCTAACTACAGTCAAATAAGGAGGAGAGTGATGTCATGGTGGAATAAGTCACCTATGTGAAGCTAGCCACAATACAGATTAGCCACAATGGTGGAATTTGCTTTTCGCCTTAGCAATTTTTAGTGAGATGAGACGTGGAGCATAGTATAAATAATAGCTTAGCTAAATCAAATCAAATCTAATTAAATTGTATTTGTCACATACACGTGTTTAGCAGATGTTATAGCGGGTGTAGCGAAATGCTTGTGCTTCTAGCTCCGACAGTGCAGTAATATCTAACAAGTAATATCTAACAATTTCACAACATATACCCAATACACACAAAACTAGTGAGGCATGGGATTTAAAAATATATACATATATGGACAAGCAATGACAGAGCGGCATTGACTAAGATACAGTAGAATATTATAGAATAGAATACAGTATATACATATGAGATGAGTAGTGCAAGA